ATCTCCACATCATTGCATTCAGTTTTTATTCACAATCTGTTTAGTGTACCAACTTTTTTGGAATCCGGTTTGAACTTGAAGCACAAGAACTGTTTAAAACATTGGCGTGCAGGAGAGTGAACTATGAATTCCTTCAAGAAATGCTAGTTTCCTTCTGACAAACATGGGAACAAAAATGGGAACTTTTTTTGCATAAGATCTTTTGCATCCTCCAAGTTTTCCACATTCCTCTTAGGAATATTGCACTTTTCATTCATTCATCCTTTATTTATACAGGTTAATCCCACTGAGCCTCAGGAACTCATTTACAAGAGAGACCTGAATCTAACAGAGTGATGACAACAATATACGATCATAAAAGATGTGTTCAAATTGATTTTTTTTTTAACATGTGGAAATAAAATGTTGTTTAAAAGAAAATGTAACAAAAAACCATCTAGATTATAGGGTGGTGTAGAAAACTAAAAACAGGAACATGTCTGCATTGGTTTTTCCCAGGAACTTGACAGATGTTTGAAGCCACTTAGAGAGGTCAAGGTCGAGAGCTTCAGAGCTTTTTGTAAGATATTCCAGGAAACAGGAGTGGAGTAGAAGGTCCTTTTGTCAAGTTCAGTCCTCACTGAGGGAACACTGCAGGTAATGATGTCCTGAGAGCGCACGCTGTAGCTGCACTCACGCAGAGACATGGAGGAGGAGATGTATGAAGGCAGCAGACCAGGAAGTGATTTAAAGATGAAAATGTACCAGTGAGAGTCTGTGCGAAGTTAATGATGTCCAGTTAACCAGTGAATACTGGGTGCAGTGGTGGGTACGATAATCACAGCCAGTTATGAATGTTAGCGCACCATGATAGACAGCATCCAACATGCAGGGTGCTTGTAGGAGCGTTCATGTAAATAATGTCAATGGAGGGAAGGAAAGTTGCAGTCACAAGGTGTTTCTTAGCATTCAGCATTAGACAGGATTATACAAGAGTTATTGTTCAGCCTGAATAAAAATGGCTGCCACAGCCACATAATATTGTTCAAAGCCAACAAAGTCCATGCTCAATAATCCAGGTACGCAATCCAACAATTTTCAGTCGGGTCATCTGGACCTGGATTAATGAGCATGGACTTTGTTGGTTTTGAACCAGTTTGACGAGACTGTCGATGAGGGAGAAGGCCGGCACCGGAGGACGGGGGCGTGCCAAAGACACCATCTTAGCACCAACATAACTGGTTTGTTTCACTTTGGAGTAAGCTGTTGGGGGAAGAATCAGTTTTGTGTTGCGTGTTTTCTTGACTGATGAAGCCTTCTGGATGGAAGGTGAAACGTTTCAGCACAAAAAAAAGAAACCGTTCAGATGACTTGACTGAAAATTGCTGGACTTAATATTGTGTTAAATTAAAGTTATACAGTAAATCACTGAAGTTTACATTATTTATATGGAGCAAAGTAAAACCATTTTTCAATGC